GTTAATTTTTAATATTTTATTATAGGGGTGTTTTTGTAAAGAAATAAACATAAGGGGTATTTTTTAGTTTGTAAATTCTAGCTCGTAATACCCGCCCAATTCAACTTTTTTTTACCTTTTTTCAAAAAACTTTTCCCAAAAACCTACAATTTTGAACCAAACGGAGCCATTATTTTTCTGATGGAGTCAAACTTACTATTCGGTTGTGAATAAATGATTATAATTTTAAAAATATTTTGGATATAATGCCACACATAGGTTCACTTTTAATTATTGATCTTATGATATTATCAAACTGTTAATGGCATATGGAAATTTACTACTGGGATTTATTATTATTATTTTTTTTTTGGAATATATAATTAATTAATGTTTCAATATTATTGGACTTGTTCAAAGAGGAGGAAATGTAAAGGGGGAAAAGACGATTATATCCTTGACTTCACATTAGTTATAAAAATGTCAAAAAACTAGGAACATAAACTTACTTTTACTTAAAAGATTATATGGACCTTGAAGATCATATATACTATAACAAACTACAAAATATTATTGTTTGGAAATGATAATACGGAAGTTAGAAAACTTTTCGGATATCAAATTGTCTTTACGGCAAACTATGGGTGGGTACATGTTGTTCGACCTTTCTTTCAAACTCAAGGTCACGGGCCCAACCCACTTATAAAAACCCACCCAAGCCCACAACGCATCCACATTTCCGCCAAGCTTTAAAAAAAAAAAAAAAAAAAAAGGGCCTTTTGTCCAGGTAGTTGTCTTTGATCTCTCTTTCGATTTCTTTCTCATTCCACAACTCTCCCGTCCGGCGGCCATATCACCTAGCCAATGTGCTTGATCGTGGCGGCAACATTTATAATATGTAATTTCACAAGGGTGGGCGACTCTCCTTTGGAGACATATGTGATAAGCACTTCAATAAACCATCGTTCTCCTCCCTTTATGAGATTATGGTAACAAAATCAAAGTAGGCTTGAAAGTACAAGAAAGGGGTTGAAGAAAATGGTTTGACCAATTGCCTAAAGCAACATAGATGGAAAACCTTCATCAGGAATTGTACCATTCAGCTTCCACTTAAGAAAGGGAGAGAGAGAAGAAGGTTACACATTATGTGACAACTTGCAATGTTCTGCATCAACTATTTTCAACTTGTAGGAGATTCTCTCAGATATAATTACGGAGGTTTTCTCCCCTGGTTGTTTTGCTCTATATGAAACAACATTACAACCATTCAACATAATGAATAAATTAAAAAGAAGAGGAAAAGAACATAGGCTTTAAATTAGAAATAACCTTAACAAATCAGAGGAAAAGATCTAGAAATTTATAAATATCAATAAATAGATTGCTCTAGCAATTATCACTGATCTCACCCATAAATACTGCAAACAAGAAATTCATGTATTTAACAACATGCTCATAAATTTACTTTAATGATATTCCCACATATATGCAACTATTCATGTATACATAAACTAATAACAGTAATAATAAATTATATATCATGGGAATGAAAATATAGATAATTCAAAATGTACGCTTCAAACATTATAAAAATCAGTAAGATGATTTATTTTACGTTCATTATTTCTTATCATGAGAATAATTGAAATATGAAAAATATCACATATGATTTCCATACTTAATTCAATAAAATAATTTATTTTAAGTAAACTGATAGGATTTGAGGTATATTTGACTCCTATTCAATAAGGTCTTGTTGAATGGAAGGATTATTCCTTTTTATAAGCTAGTAGACTTGAACGTGTTTAATCGGTGTAGGACTCCAACATAAACTAATAACTGTATAAAAAGAATGAAACAAATACATTATAGAAAAAAAGGACTCCCTTTCAGTCTAAATTAACACCTGGGAATGGCCCAAATGCTAATGGAAAAGCCGATAATAGAAACCAGGCCTTGGCGAAAGGAAAGTCAAAAAGTTGTGTAAGCTACAAGTAACAAGCCCAAAAGGAATCCTCCACATTCAGTCCATGGTCAAGGAGAAGGGAGAGCCCGTCATTCACAACCAACCTCCACAACTTGGTCCAGCCGAGGGTCCAAGACTGACCCAAATCAAAAGCTGCTCCATAAAGGCCCATAAATCTTTTTGCTTCATCTTCATTAAAAGCCCAGGGACACCAATAAAATAATCAGACGAAAGGAATAGTCACAGCAGCTCAGCAAAGTGATGAAGATTGCAGCTGCTGTGAAAGAGAAGAAGAAAAGCTTTTGCGAACCTGTTAAGTTCGGTAAACGGCTAATTCAAACAGAACTTAGTTAATATTAACAGAAACTGAACTTGAGCATTTTGTGAAAGAATAAAACGCAGAGTTTTAATCTTTGCTATATTGCTGCTGTTCAACAGAGAAGAGAAGAAGCTGAAGCATAGCTAAAATAGCATTTTTTATCCTCAAATTTTGTGTTTTCTGCTGTTGTTCCAGCTGAAGTTGTGTTTGTTGACCTAGCACATCCTGCGGATTGCCAGCATGTCAACCACACCTTGTGTATAAACAAATGAACTTCATTCTTCTGATTAACGAAAATTAATTAGTTACAAAATTCCTAGAATTCTGTTCTTCTTGTTGAAGCTTCTTTTTCTCTCAATCTCTTTAAATATGAAAAATAAAGAAAGCAATAAGACAATCACACACATAACAACACCAAATTTACGTGGTTCGGCAAATCATGCCTACATCCACGAGCTGTGAGTCAAATGACTAAAATAGAAGATAATAGTACAAGTCTAATAGACTCATGTTAAATCTAAACCCAAAACCGTTCTCTCATATTTCTTTCTAACACTCTCCCACTTAACGCACTCAAATCCTAGAAAGTGAAAATTTTCTCAATAGTCTTTGGCTCTAATTAATTAAACAAGAACTCACAAAGAACGCTCACTCTTCACCTATACATTTTCTTAACATCACCATTCACTAGCCTATATATAATCAAAGAAGAAGAGGAGATGAACATATTAATTTTCATTGGATGCAGAAAGCGTCTCAATTCTTGTGCTTAAATTGCTGCCCTGCACTGCACTTTTTCAGCCTTCACATTCCTTATCATTACAATAAGTTCACAATACCATGGTGAATGAATGGATCCAGAGGCTTGTGCCCTTTAACCCTCTTTAGATTTTTGTATCATTTCAAGGGCAAAAAGGGTTCCCATCCCTTTCTTGCAACAAGCTGTGAATTATTAAAAGACAGACATCAATATTCAGGTTTCAACTAGGCAAAGCAACAACCAAAAACACAAATTTAAGAACATTTCAGTAAGAAATTACTTAAGGGATGTGAAACTGTGCAGTTCATTTGATAAGGACTTGAGATTATCATATCAAGCAAGCCTTCTCTGGCAAAAGATTCAAGCAAAGAACCCTTCTTGATGATCTTTCAAGAGACGCAATATTGGAGAATTTTGCACTCCTTGATCCTGTAGAAATGCATTGAGCTTTTCGTCTCAAAACGCACAAGAATTTCTTATCCAATTGGAAAGCTCATACCAGCATAGGAACTGATATCTCAAAAGTACTGCAAAACATTTTCTAATCAACACTGCTTCGATCACTCCATTCATAGGATTCACCTGGATATTATTATAAAAAAAATTATGTAGCAATGCTCTCCCAGAAAAAAAGGTAATGATTTTGGGAAAACATAAACAGAGAAAGAATATCTTAGATGCTTATATTAAGCGAGTTGTTCTACCTCAACAAGGAGATATAGAGGTCCATTACTTGGTTTGCTGACATTATTTCTTCTTTTAACAAATGAAATAAGACAACAAACTAACAGTGACAGCTCATGAAAACAAATAGCATGCAATGAAGAAAAAATTAAATCTCTTTTTTATATATAAGGAATTTAAAAAACAAATAAATAATGACGTAGAAGTTGTAGACTATCAACCTTTTTACATGGATACTGAACTCTTTTGAAAAACAGTAATTTTACAGGCTTCCAACCTTCCAATTGTTGCAGAGAGTCACTTTCTGTACAAAGCAGTCACCAAGAAAGCTATAATACAACGTTAAACTATTAAAATTTCCTGTCAAATTAAAATTGTAAAATCATAATGGAAAATAAGTCGTTTCATACATTACACATTTGTAGAGAGAAGAATCCACTATCATCTTCCTCTTTAATAAAAGATGATCCTGTGAATCAAAGACAAAGATGATCTGGGATTACACTTTAGTAAAAGTCAAAGAATTTCTAATCCAAGTTGGAAATGTCACACCATAATAGGAATGGATCACAAGCACAATACAACATTTTTAGATCAGCAAACATTGCTTTAATCACTCCATTCATAGGAAATACTCACCTTGAACATTAATATATACAAATCATGTATAAATGTTGTCCAAGAAAAAAGGCAATGATTTTAGAGAACGTAAAACATAAGTGGAGAAAGACTGTCTCACATGCTTTATCAAGCGAGTTGTAATGCCTCGGCAACGATATGTAGAAGTCCATTACTTGGTTTTACACTCATTGTTTCTTCTTTGAAAAATGAATAAGATGCTAGAGTAACCCAAATTTAAGAAAGGTCTTATTTGCAAGCTTGGACTAAAAAAATTTAAGACTAAAAAAGTAAATAATGAAGATTATTGACCTTTTTTCATGGATTCCAGCCTCTTTTCGAAAAACATAATTTTACTGGCTTCAAGCCTTCCAATCAATGCAGAGACTTTATGTATATAGCGCGCCAACAAAGCAATAATACAATGTTAATCTACTATCTAAAGTTGTAAGATCAAAATTGTTAAATCATAGCGGCAAAGTTATTTCATACATTACACATATGTAGACAGAAGAATCCATTATCACCGTCCTCTTCATTTATACCAGATGAACTACCTTAAAGGCTAAGTCAGTCTTGTGCTGATGAGGGCAACTTGATCCTGTGAATCAAAGATGATCTAGGATTACCATTTACTAAGACTTTAAATATAAAAAGTATGTCAAATATGCTTACGTGCAACTGGATAAGGAAAATTTTATGGCATTGCAATCGCAATCTGATTTCATTCCACCTCAACAAAGTATCTCAAATCTGGCAACCATAGATTGTGAAGGAACTTTGGCAGATATTATATAAATCAATAATTGAAAATATTGGAATTTGTGTTGAAGACTTTCTTTTGGTTACCTTTCACCCACAAGAGTTGAAGAAACTGATGACTTCAGAAAGATTCTTGTATTCTTGTATCAAATTGTCTTACTCCACTCTTGGATTGAATCTGTAGAACAACGAAATGGGATATATTCAACACCATTTGTGATTATAATATGGAAAACCATTCACATGTTTGAAATTGACAAACCTAAAATTGGAATGAGATGATTCTGTAATTGGTTCTTCATTTTGGGATCTAAAAAAGGCTCAGATTCAAATTATATGTCTGAGTGGTATAAATTTGACTCCTCTGAGTGATGGAAGCTTAACTCATCTGAAACACAAAAAGATGAGGAAAATAATTCAAATTATATCTCTAATATCAGAGCTCACACATGAGAAATCATAATTTAAATCACCCACAAGAGTATCAAAGCGAAGAATATACATTGATTAAATCTAGTGAAAAGTTATTAAATAAGACAGGAGACAGACAAATTGCAGTGCAAGGTGTTAAAAACAAGTCAATTAAAGTTAAACAAAAAACAATTTTAGGAAACTTTGAAGTTAAGGCGGAAGATAAAAGAAAATAGTGTAAGAAAATGACCAACCTGGGTTGAAGTAAGATGATTCTTAGATTGGATGTTGGGAAATCAAATAACTATGCTCATTCTTGCTCCTCTTCCTCCTTTGAATTGAAGATTAAGTTTCCATCTATGCAAACTTTAGGGATGTGAGCAATCTTTGAGCAGTATTTTCCTTTACCCCTTTTCCACCGTCTTTTTAACAATGGACAATGGCCAATACTTAAATTCAGAAGTGAGGGTGGCATGCTTTGCAATGATTTGAGCTTTGGGCATTTCTTAATGCACAAAGACTCAAGAGAGGTGAGGCTTCCCAACTCTGGAATGGATTCAAGGTTTTCGCAAGTCTCAATCCCCAAACTGTTAAGAGAGGTGAGGCTTCCCAGGTTTGGAATGGATTCAAGGTTTGGGCAACCATTGATCTCCAAACTTTTAAGAGAGATAAGGCAGCTCAAGTCTTGAATGGTTTTTAGCTCTCGAAAATTTTTAATTGCCAGCCATTTAAGAGAGGTGAGGCTTTGAAGACCCAAAGTAGATAGAGAAGTTAGAGAGGAGGTCGCTCCCATGCTCTCTTGAGAAATTGGCCCTGAATCATCACATGCAGTAATACGAAGTCGTCTAAGAGAGGTGAGGTTGTGCAATCCCCCCTCTATTATTGACTTACAGATTTTGGAACCTTCCCCAACATAGAGCTCTGTTAGGTTGATTGGAACACCTTCATTTGCAAACAATATTTGACAATCCCATATATTTAATTCTTGAAGAGAGCTTGGAAATTTGAAGGATATTTCCATATTTGGACAAAACCATATGTAAATACTCTGAAGACATGTAAGATTGAGTAGGTTTGAAGGTACCGATTTAAGTTGATCACACCACAAAAACTTAATCTCTTTGAGACACGTGCTATTTTCAAATGTCTCTACTATTGACTCTAGCTTTGAACAAAAGTAAATATGGAGGTACTCAAGTGCCTTAGGAAAACACTGATGTCTAGATGATAGCGTTGTAAGATTTGGACATGTATTAATCCAAAGTTGTTTGAGTGTGTCAGGCAAACAACCATTTGATGATATGCACGTGAGAGATGGACAGTCATAAATGTCCAAGTACTCCAAACGAGTAGTACTCAAATCCTCCAAATGTTCCAATTGCTTACAATTTTCAATCTCAAGTCTTCTCAAATATAAAGGTAGTATACCTCCTTCAAAGACTGTTAGAGAATCACAATCTTTAATTACAAGCGTTTCTAGATTTTTTTGCTTCAATCCTTCATGTAAAGATTTTAGAGCCTCCCAATTACTAATAGTCAAAGAACTTAGATTGGGAAGAAAATCGATCTCTGGAAACAAAACAAGACTTGTACAATTTACAAAAGACAACTTTTTAAGGGATGTAAGCCTATGAGTACCATGAAGTGGCTTACCAACACAACTCAAATTTTGCCACGAATTTGTGAGCTCTTCACAGCCAACAATCTTTAAAATTTTTTGAAATCCTTCCTTTATCCAATTTCCAAACTTTGGAGTACTTGAAAGAGCCATAGGATTTAAAGACTGGAATTCAGTAGATATAGTACTATGACACACCACTTCCTTGCAGTCATTAATTTCTATTTTGCATAGTGATGGAACACTTGAAATTGAAGCCTTCAACTCTGAACACTTTTGAATAAAAAGCCTTTCCAATGAAGGAAGACTGTTGGGTAATTCTCCAGCAAGTTTCGGACATTCAACAATGGAAAGCTCTCGGAGAAGAGGGAATATTTTAACATCGTCATTTTCTCTCTCAGTGTTCCAACACTGCCATTCTTGCAAATTTTCAAAATGAAGAACCTCTAATGACTTGAAAAGCATCTCAAAATCTATATTTTCTAGTCTCTTCATTCCTTTAACGGTTAGGTCTTTAAGTGAGCTCAACATCCAGAGTGAAGGCAAACTTTCACAGTTGTTACAATTTTCTAATTTAAGTACTGTCACATTGGAGAGCGATGACAAATCTCCTAACCAAGATGGAAAACATGAACCACTATAGCACTTGATTACAAGTTCTTTCAAATTGCTATGAGGTTTTAGCATCTCAAGAACATATCTTTCTACTTCCTCATTCGGTGAACCATCAGATTGAGATCCCCATTCCAACAACAATATTTCTAAATCTTTCATATTTTGTAGTACGGGCTCTCTTATTTGGTTTTGATGACTAACATTCTCTAATTTGGAAATTTGAAGCTCTCTTTGAAGATATCTTAAATTCTTCAAATCATTCAAATTGAAATTCTTCCCTTTGACCACAATAAAATTAGATAACATTCGGAGGTTTACCAACTTTTTCATCCCAGACGGCATCCTTTTCAATGAAGTTGCACCTTTTATATCAAGATGACATAGATTGGTCAAATGTCTCATCTTGGAAGGTAACTGCAAAAGACGAGAACAATCTTTTAGTAGCAAAGTTTGCAAGTTGAGTAATGAGCTTATTGACTCAGGCAAACTTCTAACCAAAGTGTTGGAAAAATTGAGATACTTTAGATGTATCAAGCCTCCTATTGAATTCGGTAGATGTGTGATGTAATATCTTTCTAAGGATAGCACTCTTAACTTCTTCAAATGCGGCAATAAATTAAAAATAATTGTAGCATCTATGTGCTTATGATTATACTTGTTGTAAGGACTCATAAATACTGGAAAAAATGTTCTTAGACTTTTCAATTTTTCCAAGTCCTTGAACATACTTTTTCCATCACAATCTTTAGAAATATAAGAAAAATGACGAGTCCTTTCAAAAGTTTTTGGTAGCATAGAAATGGCTTCCTCAAATCTAAAACCGATTTCTCCAAAAATAGATTGTGCTAGATCATGAACGAGGTCATGCATTACATATTTAAAATTATTGCTACTTGATTTTTGAAAAAATGACCTGGAACATAAATGACGAAAATATTCGGTAGCCAAATTCAGGTGCTTATCTGATTGTTGAATAATGCCTTCGCCCATCCACAAAAGCTCAAGTTCCTCCTCGTCGAACTCATAATCTTTAGGAAAAATTGCACAATAAGCGAAACATCTTTTAAGATGGGGAGGAAGATGGCGGTAACTTAACCTTAACACGGGAAGGATGTCATTTCCGTTAGTTGAATCCCATACTCTGCTGTTTAATATATTCTCCCATGCATCAACTTTCGGCTCATAGTGTAGAAGACAACCTAGAGTCTTCGCTGCCAGGGGCAATCCTCCACACTTTTTAACAACGCTTTCACAAAATTTTCCAAGAGCATCAATATCCATACCAGTCGAAGGTGCATGCTCCAAAAACAAATTCCAACATTCTTCATCTGACAGACCCTTTAATTTATGAGTTTCAAAGGATCTCATCGTTAATGCAACATTTTCAATGCGTGTAGTCACAATTATTTTACTTCCTCGTGCACTATCCTTGAATGGAGACTTGAGAGTTTCCCACAAGCTATAATTCTCGTTCCAAACATCATCTAAGACCAGCAGGAATTTTCTTCCACATATTTCCTCTTTCAACTTATCTTGTATTTCATTTAAACTATTTTGAGTGGTGGATGAGGGATTTATGGACTCGAGAATTGACTTCGAGATTCTCGTGACATCAAAATCGTCTGAGACAGAAACCCATGCTTTTTTCTCGAACTTGAGACGTTCCAATTCCTTGTCATTGTACACCTCTCGAGCAAGTGTTGTTTTGCCGAGTCCTCCCATACCCACAATTGCTATCACACCAAAGCTGGTATCAACTGGATTATCACTTGACACCATCTTAAGTATTTCTTTTTTGTCTTCACTTCTCCCATAAACAGTTGCTTCAGTTGGCAGACTGGAAGTGGGTGGTCTTGGATCTGCTCCTTTCTGAGTAGATGCAGCAGTACTTGATGTCCCTCCAGAAGTCTCGTGCATCAATCCAAGTTCAACTCTTTCTTTATAGAGCTCTTCGAATCTGCCGTTAATATCTTTCATCTTGGATCGCATACTGACATCAAACTTTATAGCGCGAGGAGTGAAATTGTTGAAACAAGAAGGGATATTAATGGAGTTTTGCCGTGAAACTTCATAGGCAAACTCTTCCAGTAAATCCTCTACATCATAAGCCAAGTCTTGGAGATCATCGAGCCACAGTTTCACAGCGTCGTTCGTGTGTTGCTTCTCTTCTGCAGTGCGAAGAACCGCCTGAATTTTCTTCAACTTCTTTTCCCACTTCTTGAGCTTTGAACGAACGCCTTCTTCATTTGCAAAATAATTGAACAACTCAGGGGAAGACAGTTTTTCAAACAACAAAGGAAGGGTTGCAGAGAGCAAAAGTTCAGCCATGGTTTTGGTTATCAAAAGAAAAGACCTGAACGATTTGAGTTTGGAGCAAAGCAAATAGAAACAGGTTAATTTTGTGTAAGAATGCTAAAAGTTGGATTCAAGATACAAGAAAGACACAAGCTTTGGTAGCTACAATTTACTATTTTTTTAAGCAAACATAATGTTGGACAGTGTGAATGCGTGGAGACACAAACGTGCATACACATCTACCAATATATTGACTAAAGTCAACACCTTAATTTCTATGCCATTGTTTCTTGTGAAGCCATGTGCATTGCATCGCCCTTCACCAACTTTGATACATGCTTATATTAATTAAACAAATAATATCATATTACTAAGTCCAAAAT